TCCTTCGAACTCCTTTAGCCCTTAACCCTTTCGTCACCTCTTCCCCTCCATGGCATGTGACTAACCTCTACCCTCACCTGTTACATTGCCAGGGAACGAACGGGAAGGAACTTGGTCCTCACTTGGTGGGAAACGAGGGCAAGGGAAGGGCAGCCCGTCCCTTGTGCCACCAAGAAGGAAAGGATACGAGGCTATTGGGAACATTTGTGAAAACGAAAAGGAGTGCTGTTTTTGAACGAGGTCAGTTTGACTCAACCATCTCCCCGACTGCATGACTTAGGTGACTGCATGGCTTGCTTGAGGGAAGGAAGGGGTAAAACGAGGGATCACGGAAGGGCAAAGGAAACTTAGGCTTGCGGGAAGGGCCGATGTGTTGACCCCAATGGGGATTGTGCTTGGTCATCTGTCTTGTGTGGTCTTGCGCAGGTGAGTAGCTAGGGACGATTTGGACGGGGCTGGACCCGCGAATGAGGACTAGGATGGGAGATTGGTTGGGATCCGGCTTAAGCAATGGATGTGGGATTAGTTGAGGCCGGGCGCTTGAGTGGATGGTTGATGCATGGACTTGGTTTGTGTGAAGGTTGCATAGAATGTCTCTCACATGTGCAATGTGACCCCTGAAAAGACTAAGGATGGTCTTGGGTAGGTGATGCGATGCTAGTGGCTCTCGCAAAAAATATAGCGGCTAGGGGTCCAGGCGACGCCGCCTTCCCTTGAGGATGCCGCCGGGGCTGCCCCGAGCCGCTAGGCTTAGTGAAGAGGTGCGTGGCCCAATGGATGACGCTTGGCCTGCGCACGATAAGAAGACAAACTCTCAATGAACTCCCTGGACTGCTTGTGTATTGGAAGGAGCAATTGCCTGGTCAGACTTAACCAAATCGAGAAAACGCCGCGAGTGACCAAAGAGCTACCATCTTGACGCGAGAGCGGAGCTACATCCCCCAACATAAAGCCCTCTCGCAAAAGGCCCATCCCCATCCATCTCAAAGCATTAGGTGGGGGTGCCCCTGGGATGAACGACCCGCGCCCTGAGCATGAGCGTGGGTGGGTCGAGCTAAATGGGACCCGCAGTGGGGTCGACCGAGGCTCGAAAGACCTTCAGGGTACGGCCCCTACACCGCGGCGACTCAGAGGAGGAATAGAAATGCCTATACCGACAGAAAACGAATGGAGGGGGACCACGTGCGACTGGATTGGGTTTGAGGTCGCCCGGGGATTTGGAACCCGATAAGGGAAGAGGAAGGTTGGGATGATATAGCAGAAGGCAAGGTAGAGTCAGTCGGAACGATTGTCCTTTCCGAGGATGGATGGTACCTGTTTTGCACTATGTTAAAACGATTGTCCTTTCCGAGGATGGATGGTACCTGTTTTGCACTATGTTAGGAATGGGACAGGACCCGATGTGGCTTCTAGGGGATGCAGAGGCCCGAACCCGAAAAGAAGGCAAGCGGTTCGCCAACGAGGGATGGGACGAAGTTAGTAGCAGAGTTGTGATGGGAGGATGGAAGGAACTTAAGCCTCCAAGTCTACGGATAACGGCTTGGGTACCGGAGTTCATAGCCGAGTGGTTTGGAGGGTTTGAACACATTTTGGAAGTAGCCGACTCCATGAGAAGGGTGCATATAGAGTGTGCCTGGCTGACTGAGGAGTTCTATAGGCTCTCATTGAAATATGGGCCCTTCTACGGAGATAAAGCCGAGGAAGTCATCATCGTCCTAAGAATAGGCAGGTATGACCGCCTAGAGGTAGAGGCGGAGTCTTGGGACGCCATAGTTAGCCGGGAGGCGGCGGTCGCGCCCTCCTATTTGAGGTGCTGTGGTTCGACTAAACGAGGCCGAGGGATCGAACACCGCGAAAAGGCCCGAGTATGAGTCGAGTTGTAACATAAGAACGGGAGTGTGTACATTAGGCCGTAGATGGTGTATAAGGCTCGAAACAAGGGGGAAGTGGCAGCAACCGGAAAAAGGGGGGGGTAGAATTGTACGTGTATGGGTCGAAAGGCATGGAATCTCGGTGGGTGCAGCAATCGGACTAAGGAAGCAGGAAAGGAGGCGTTTCAAGATGACCCGACGAATGACTTTCTGGGGGGATAGACCTCGCGGGATCCTGTCACTAAGGGTATCGGAAGGCAGAGTCGAAATAAGCCTGCCGGCAAGAAATGCGGTAAGCAATCCGGTAATGGACCGGGTGGGGGTAGAGTTGGTGGAGGACACAGTGTACCTAGTAGTGGAGCTGGAATGGCGTGCGAGAGGGGAGTTCGAGGGCGTAGATTTGGACCTCCCAGGGCGAGTGCATACAACGGGATCCTTACACCTGTCGGAAGAGGGGTGGCGGACCTTTGGGATTGCCTTGGCTTTCGGGGATAACCCTGTACGAATGTTTGAAGGAGCATGGCAAATAACTTGGCGAGAGGGGTTTGAGTTCGCAGTCCCAGAACGAGACGACGTGACGGCCGATGTAAGAGTTGCCGCGGCAGGGATCTTTGAGCTGCCCAGTGAGGTCGTACGGATGAGTCTACCGCCCTTTCTGCTAAGGCTAATGGGAGGCATAGAACGAGTGGAGCAGGCAGTGACTGCCGTAATTGGGCTAAATCTTGACGAAGCATTAATGTATCGAGAATACTATCGGGCCTTCCTAGAGATGGGGCCTTTTGGGGACGAACAGGGGCGCGAGGTGCTTTGCATTCTACGAGCAGTAGTAAATACTAGGCCGAGAGTCCCACAAATAAGCGATGAGGCCATGTGGAGAGTCATCCGGCAAGGGGTAGGTCGGGGCGTGACCTACGTGGATGATTTCTACCGTCTGTACGAGCTGCCAGAGGGGGCTACTGCTCCCAGGGGTATGGAGGGATAGTTGGACTAGAAAAGAGGAATGAAAACACGAAGGACAAGGAAGGCAGTAGGTGGGTGGTTTCTGGGGATTGGTTGTAACCCTTTCTATGTGGACTATGCAGGGAATCACCAAGGCAACGATGACAGCAAGACGTGAGCGAATAGAACGTCAGCCCCGTGTGCGAATGGAACGCCAGCCCCGGTACCCCGGACCGCCTTGGAATAATCCCTCCCGTCGAGTTCAACCTATCGGGGATTCGACAATGAATGACGGGCCGTGACTTTGGGACGGGACGCCACCTTCATGTCGGTAGAATGTCGGTGGACAGGGATGAGACTCAATCGAGGACCCGGGGACGATCTGTATTCCAATCTGGAAGTTACCGGGACCATGTATCTGCCTGAGATCGATTGGTACTCGTTGGGGGTAGAAATAGCACAAGGTCATGAGCTGGCACCGGTCTTTCGAAGGGCCGCCCGGACGTTGACCCGGATAGGACAATCAGTCAGGGGTAGAAGGAACGTGGGCTTACTTACCTGGGTGGAAATGGGAGGTTGGAGGGAGTTCAGGGCACCGACCACACCGCTGAGATGCCGAGTGCCCCGTTTTATGATAAACCTCGTCTTCGGAAGCCTCACGAGGGCGGGGGAGCTGACAGACTCAGCGATAGTCTGGGCAGGCAACTTTCCCTCCCCTACCATTGGGATGTTCTATGATGTCGCTGTGGAGCATGGACCGTTCTGGGGAAACAGGGCCCACGAGTTACTGGAAGTTATCCACATCCTGATGTTTAGGGCGCCACGACTAGACTGGGCGGGATGCGAACGCATAATCAAAAGAGAAATTGAGATAGGAGAGAGTTATTTAGTAGGGGTGGATGAACTATTCGAGGAACCTACCGAACCGGATGGGCCACGAGGGTGAGAACGAGACTAGCACCCGCAGGCGAGCCTATAGAGCAAATCAAGTACGGCCCGCTACGTTCGAAGGCTCACCAACAGAGATAGGAAAAGGGGGGCCCGGTTTATGATCTATAACCGCCAGACAGGGAACACTGCGCAGGAAAACTTTTCCTAGCAGGTTGCCCAACCCGGACCCCTACGCACCGACCAACGGAATAAGGGCGCTTTAAACGAGCCGGTGACAAGGGTAGCTAAGTCACGCCCTTAGCTCGGTGAGGCAGCAGAGCCGGACGCGGCCCCATATAAAGGAAGCCATCAGGAAATGGGAATGGGAAAAAGCCTAATTGCCAAGTAAAAGGGATAAACCAACAGGATTGGAAGCTAGGGAACCTAAATGCCTCGCAATGCGTTTGTTCTGGGGTTATGCAGAAGTAAGCAAGAATGGCAACGGAGGAAGAGGCAGATAACCGTAAGAGTGAAGGAGGACCAGGCTTAGGAGGCAGTGCCATACAAAGCGAAGAGGGGCAGAAGGACAGACAATCGATAAATCTGGATGGTACCAAAGGGAACCAGAAGGAGATCTCCTCAGGAGAAAGCTCGGGGAAAGCCGGGGGGAGCAGGCAAGGGACTCAGGAGACCAAGGAGGGCAGAAATAAGTACAGGACAAGCCCCCGAAACTCGGAAGGAGCCGTGTCTAAGAAAGTAAGGGTCACGGATGCTAGGCGCAAACTAGCCGAGATAGAAAAAAGGACCGCGGAGTACAAGGCAAGATTGATTGAGGAAATGATGACTGGGAACCAAGAGGACCCTCTGCAGGAGGAACCCCGGGACGAACGGAAAACCAGCCGAGGTGGGACTGGACAAGGGGATAAAGGTAGTGACCATGGGGGAACGCCGAGCAAGAGAAGGAAAGAGAGAGAGAACTCTCCGGGGATGGAGGCGGAAAAGGCTACGACCCCGCCAGCCATAGATAGTAGGGCTAGCCGCCGTCGGCAAGGAAGGTCCGGATAACAGTATGGCAGGCGAGGCCAGCAGCTCCGAGGGCGGCCTTAGGAAGATAGTGTCGTCCCTCGTCAGAGCACTGAACAAAAATCAAGGCTACATAGTGGATGCTAAGAAAAAGTTGACGTTTGATGGGGCGAACATCACGAAATTCCTGATAGATTACGCGACTCTGGCTGCGTTGTTGAAATGGACCGAAGAGGAGAAGATGGACCACCTGGGGCAGCATGTGTCTCTGAGCCTAGGACGGGATATAATGGCCATCGTGGCCGCGAGCCGGTCTTGGAAAGAAACCCGAGATGTGATGATGAGAAAGTATCTGGCAACGGAGACCGATTTAGCGGCAGTCCAGAGGAAGAACTTCGCAACGTACAATGACTTCCTACGGGAGTTTACTTTGGTAGCACTAAGAATCCCCAGGTTACGGACCGAATAATGAGTAAGTACTTCCTCAGACAGTTCTCCGAGTTCGACAAGGAGAAGATCCTGTCGGCTTACCAACAGACGAGCAAATTTGTAAACACTAGGGATGTTGATTTCAGTACGGTAACGGATCTGGCCGAAAAGACGGTAGTGACCGAGACATTGGCCTTGCTTAAGGAAGGTGAGGTCATAAATCTGACCGGTAGAGCGGGCGACAAGGTTAAAAAGGGGATTGAAAGCCTACATGAGCGGGTGCACGGGGTCGTGCAGGCGCAAGTGTCTAGACCCGCTCTCCCTCCCCAGGAAGCTGTGGTTCCGCCAGGTGTAGCCAACCGGGGATTCGGACGGAGAGATCCTGCTAACGAGCAATGCAAGTATTGTACCGCGATGGGACATTATGTGCACGCGTGCCCAAAGCTCAACCATGATATTCTGAAAAGAAGGTGTACCTGGTCATTAAAGGGGGAGATATTTGGACCACAAGGGGAACGGGTGAACTGGAACTCGCCAGGAGGGATGCGGCGAGCCGTTGTCATGCTCAACGGGTTAGAAATAACTGCCATAGAAGCCGAACCGGTGGGCGAGATGATCTGGGATAAACTCCGGGGGCGCGGGCCGTAGGTCAACTTTATTTTGGAAAACGACGGAGGTGATAGGGTGAACGCAACCACTCGACTAGGAACGGCTGGGAGAAGGATTAACCGTGACACCGTGATGGAGGAGGTTGCTGGAAGTTCGGAACCCTAGGCAAAGCGTGAGGCCGAGGAATTGGAAAAGGTCTATGGGAAACCTAGGGAAGAGAAGCCTACGGACAAAGTTACCGCTGCCAAGAAGAAGTTTAGGTACCAAATCCCGATTTTATCCTTGCCTGAGATCGACGACACCATTAGCAAGTTACTAGGAACCATGGTGTCGGTGTCTTTTCACACCATGCTGCAGGCTAGCCCTAGGTTGCTCAAAGGGCTTAGACAACTGTTGACTCGGCGGCGAGTAGAAATAGGCGACAAACCGAATTACCAGAAGGGGAGAGGGAGGAGGAAGCTCCACAAGAAGTGGCTAACCTTCAGAGAAGTCACGGGGACTTGGAGGATCTCGAGAAAGCTTTTGCGGACATTCGTTTGAGCTTGCCCGACCTAGAGGGCGGCAAGGTCATGAGATCACCACCCGGGACAAAGCTTAGCTTTCATGCACTGCCCGTAGGGAAGCTGAAAATCCAGATTGGGACTCATCATACCGACGCATTAGTAGACGAGGGAGCATAAATCACTCTCATAAGAAGAGATTTCGCAACGATCACGGGATGTACGGTAAACAAGGAAGTAACAGGGAGCATCCGGGGAGCTGGCGGGGAAATCCCGTTCGCTGGGTACGTCACAAAGTGTGCTGTAAACGCAGGAGTCAGAGAATCGATCTGGTCGTTTCAGCGGATGACCGTAATGGAGGAAATGGACCACGACATAATCCTCGGGAGATCGTGGTACGCTAACGTAGAGATGATAGGCATGCACTTGCACGATGGCTCATACATGGTAGACATAGAGGAACTAGTGACCGGCCGGGGAGAGCTCCTCCGACTCCTTGGAACGGGAGGAGACCCCCCGAAGGGGAAATTGGCAACATGGTCGCCGTTGCTCAAGGATAGCACGCGAAAAGGGGCTTTCGCACGAATGGAGGGTATGAGAGAAAGGGTAGAAATCATGATTGAGGAAGCATTCAAGAAGAGGGAGTGGATCAAGATGGGCCTGGCCCAGAAGAAGAGGAGGCAGGATGACGAAGTCCTAGGGGTTATGGTAGCAGAAAAAGGGTCAGAGGTCGAACTTGGTGCTAGCCTACCCAAACGGAAAGAAGTACGCATAGACGTGCCAGAAGTCGCATTCAAGATCCCCGATCTGTTACAACTCATCAAGACTTTCAGATACCACAAGGTAGGAGTGGACTCAGCAGCCTTGGCCAAGTTCGAAGGAGAGGTGCAAAAGGGATATTGCCTGAATGAGAAGCTAGTTAGTATTCAACCACGAGTGGTAGAGGCAACGAGGGCGATTCCGACTGTTCATTTTTTAGGAGAAAGATCACGGAAGGAAGTGTTCGAAAGTACAAGCCGGTAGGGAAGAAAGCAAAACCGGTCTCGATCCTGCTAGGGACATCAAAGGAAGAGGCTATGGGGAAGGAGGAAGAGGTCCTTCGAGTTATCCAAGAAAGAAGGGCGACGGAGGGACATCGGATACCAGATGAGGTAGCTGACACAATGAAGATAGGGATAGACGGGTTCCTAACGGAAGAAGAAACCCGCCTGATCAAAAGGACCTGCCAGGAGTTTCACCTGGCATTTGCCTTTAGTGATCACCAGAAGGGACGACTGGATGCGAAGCTGATCCCTCCGGTCAGAATCCATACGGTAGAACACGAGTGTTGGAATGACAAGGGGCCGTCCTATGAATTGTGGATAGCAGGGGAAGTGACAGCCCTCCTCCGAGCAAAAATGGACTCCTTCGTTGCGGAGCCTACGGCATCGCCATACGCAAACCGGTGGTTCGTCTTTCGAAAGCCTAACAAGACACTAAGATGGATTCAGGATGTGCAAAAGTTGAATGCGGTAACCATCCGGGATGCTGGCTCGCTACCTCAGGCTGACTTATTAGCAGAATCGCATGCCGGTCGGAGCATTTACTCCCGGATAGATCTGTATTCAGGGTACGACCAGCTTCCGTTGGATGTTCGGGACAGGCCGTACACCGCTATGCACACCCCCGTAGGCCAGCTACGGATGCAAGTGACCCCTATGGGATTCACAAACGAGGTGGCCAAAGCGCAACGCAGAATGCTCGCCGTGGCCGGGGACATGTTTCCAGAAAAGTGTGAGCCCTATATCGACGACAATCCGATCAAAGGTGCGCAGGAGAAGGACAAGACAGAAGTCCAACCGGGAATCCGAAAGTTTGTATGGGACCATCTACAAGACATCGAGGACTTGCTCCGCCGGTTCCTGGTATACAACATCACGGCTAGTGAACCTAAGAGTATTCTAGCAGTACCAGAAGTAACCATACGAGGATTTCGCTGCGGTGCTTACGGTAGGAAGCCGGATCCGGCGAAAACGAACAAGATATCGCAGTGGCCAACCCCCCTGCGCACTACAACAGAAGTGAGAGCATTCCTAGGCGTGGTCGGTTTCTGGAGGATCTTCATTAAGAATTTTGCCAAGATTGCGGAACCTATTCGGGCAATGATTAGGGAGGAAGGAACCATGGATTGGACGGAGGAGTGAGAAAGAGCAGTCCAGAAGCTTAAGGACATATTGACATCTGAGACAGTCGCCCTGTTCGCACCTTGTTTTAATGACGAAGTAGGAGGACCGTTCATCCCAGAGACGGATGGAGGACCTTTAGTCGTAGGAGGCGTGTTGATTCAAAGGGATGAGGGAGGAAAAGAGAGGCCAATTAGGTTCGAAAGTAGAACCCTGAACTCTGCAGAGCGGCGGTACTCGCAGTTCAAGAAGGAGGTCCTAGCCATCTTGCACTGCCTTAAGACCTTTCAGGCCTACCTATTTGGGAGGCGGTTCATCCTTAGGATTGATCCAACGAATGTTGCGGGAGCCCTAAAGAATTACAGGCCTATAGACCCGACGGTGGGGAGATGGGTAGGATTTATCTGGCAGTTCGATTACAAAATCGAATGAATTGCGGGAAATAGGAATAAGGCCGATGGGCTGAGCCGGGCCTCTATCACTCCCGAAGGGGTGGAGTGTGCGGAGCCCATAGACGCATTCCTCGAATACGAAGGAGGGACTCTAGCGGTGGATAACGAAATGATGAGCAAGGAGTGCACATCGGGAGAACTATTGATCCAGACTTTGGAGAAGGGGGCACCTGTCGTAGTAGAAGAACTTAGAGAGGGACCAGTCACCACTCGAGGACGTAGAGAAGAAAAGGACTCATGGGGAGCAATAGTAGGAACGAGAGAGGAACTAATAGCAATGGCGGTCGAGGGAGGCCGGGAAGCAGTGATGAGCTTAGTGGAATCTTGGGAAAGGAAAGAGTTGCAATGGGTGGTAAACTAGATGCAGAAAGGAAAGGATGGGGGCCAGGAAAGGGAGGAGTTTTTCTATGTCCAATCATACGAAGGGCTCTTTCGGGAGATGAGGCTGTTGCTGGTAGGCAACAAACAACCTACGAAAGTCAGTATTAAAGCAAGAGAAGAAGCCGAAAGGCACGTCCTAAGGGGCGGGCATTTGTTCTGAAGGGAGGAAGGTGCTATGCCCAGGAGGATTGTGTGCGGAAGATCTAGGCAAGTAGACGTTATCCAGGCAATGCACGACGGGTTAGCTGGAGGTCATCGGTCGTCCAAGGGAACGCTTGCAAAAATAACGCCACTCTATTATTGGCCACGCATGGCAAGCATGGTCGCCATATACTGCCAGACTTGCCTTATTTGCCAAGAACGAAGCTCGGTGCAGGTCTTTGAGCCTCTTAGACCAACGCGGGTGCTAGGGCCGGGACATCTGGTCCACCTCGACCTTGCGGTCATGCCTGTATCAACGGATGGGTACAGGTATATCATGGATGCGCGAGACAACTTGAGTGGGTTCGTGGAGCGGTCGCCCTCAAGAAAAAGACAGGGAGGAGTGTGGCGGACTGGATAGAAGACTTCTACTTGAGGCATCCTTTCGTCAGGATGTTTATAGCAGACAATGGGACGAAGTTTGTGAACCAAGAAGTATTGGGGAGGCTTAAGAGACTCTGCGTACCGATCAAACTCATCGAGCTGTATCACCCTGAGGCCAATGCACCTGTGGAAAGGGGGCACCGAACCTTGAAGAACACGATTGCAAGGCTCGCAGCGGACCATCTGGGGAACTGGCCTAGGTATCTTAAGCAGGTTGTCTTTGCTGAGAATATGACCCCTAAAAGGACAACAGGATGTATCCCGGCGGAACTTTGGTACGGAAGAGAGATCGACTTTCCTGTGGAAGCCTTGGTACCTACTTGGAATAGGTTAGATGATGATCCGCAAATTACTACTGAAGAGTTAATCGAGGCAAGATGTCAACAGATCCTTAAGAACGAGGAGGTCATGGAAGACATCGCCAACCGTGTACTAGACAGCAGAATGAGGGACAAAGCAAGGTGGGACCAGGTTAAGAATGTCAGAAAGGAGCCACTTCAAGTGGGAGAGATGGTATTGCTAAGGAACTCGGCACTAGAAAGTACTTGGTCGGGACAGCTGGGAAGAAGGTTCAAAGGCCCCTACCGGGTCGCCAAGCGGGTGGGACTGAAGACTGAACACCTTCGAACTGAAAGATTTGGATGGAACTGGATTGAAAGGGCCCTTCCCGGGGCAACGATTGGTTAGGTTTCTAAGTCGGGGCCCAGTGGAACAATGGCTTCAGGAGGCCGTAGATAAGGAAAACTGAGGAGGCACAAGCTAAAGACTCTCCACAGCCTTGCCCACGCTATGGTTTGTCTCTGACCACGTCCATGGGACTGTCATTTTTGGGGACCGGGGCAATGGCTTGGACTGACTGATGGTTGAAAGGCAGCATGACTTGGGGGTTTGCAATATCTGGCTTGTGCGATGACGGGAAGGGGTGTTTGGGGTATTGTACCATAGTTTTTTATGGGAAAAAAATGGGATTTTCACACCCGACGCTTTTGCATAAGGGAGGGAAATGTATAAAAAGACATAATGTGAAGGATACTGGGAGCATTTTTTTTAGAAAAGGGAGCTGCCTACCGCACTGGGGGGGGGGAATGTGTGTATGCGGGGCATTGCGGGTGCTGTTTTGTTATACAGGACCTAGGAGAAGAACGAGAAAAGGCAAAAAAATGGAATTCGGCAACGAGAACGACAGCGGGGCAATCAACAGGCCTACCGCAGGGGAGGAAGCAGGACCAAGCCAAGGGAGGAGGGCGGCGAAGAGAAAGTTGTACGTAGGACTCATGGGTGGGCCAGTGGTAGGCAGGGGTGGAAGGAAATGCTTGTGTAGGAAACCCTCACCCCTCGGCGAGGGAGAAGGCATAGAAATCACGTCTGACAGTGAGGGAGGGAAGGAAAAGGCAGAAATGGAAGAAGGAGGCAATGCAGATATGGGAGATAAGGGTCAGGTTTCTGACGAGGAAGGAGCCAACAGGGGCAAACGACGTGAGACTTGGCATGGGGAAAGCGAGGGGGGACGAGACATGCGCGACGAACACGAGGAGGGTGAGGAGAGAAGGGAAAGCCCGCTTGAAGGACGAAGCGGCCACGACAGTTGTGAGAGGTATGGGATGGGGACAGAGATTCCTTTTACCTGCGATCCGAAGATCCTTGCAGGTGGGTATAGCCCGAGGAGGACGAGGAGGAGGATGTACGAGAAGTCATAGAAATCAGCAGCGGGGATGAGAGGGATGAGATCTCAAGGCCTAGGGAAGAAGGGCGGCCTCCGATGCACCAGCCGGGCGATGGGGCTTTCGGATGGGAGGACGAGTTTGGACCAACACCCAGTCATTGGTTTCAGCAATGGACCAATGTGATCAGGCACAAATGGATTATCAAGACCCGGGAACTGGCAAAGGCGGGAGTGGAAGCTACGCCGCTGGACTTCTTCAGTGAAATTGAACTACAAGGAATTGCAAGAAAGAAGAGAGAAATCGAGACCTACGGCCTGGGGGTCAGGAAGCCTGCCGAGAAACAGGGTGGACAAGGAACTGGGCAAGACGAGGCGCAAGGCAGCAATAGAAACTAGGTGTTGACCTAGCTTTGAAAAGGATCGCTGCGTTTTTGTCTGCAGAGACGTGAGAATGACAAGAACGTGTACAGTATGGGCAAGCTTGCTAAGGATGAAGTGAAAAGAGGACCAGCCAAGGCTGTGTCGCGATAAGATAGAAGATAGTTCTTGAGGCTACCTTTTGGATGAGCTACCTTGGGTACATCAGACAAAGACATGGGATTTGGAATGAGACCAATTGGGAGAGGGTGTATTGTGAATTCTGGATGGAATAAGGATTATGCTTTTAAGAGTGGAAAAACCTGGAGTACGGACTGACGAGCGAACCATCGAGTACAAGAGAGGTTAGGGAACCTATGGGTTAAGGGGCATGAAGAGTACTCCTTCCCTAGGAGCCTAATCCAGCCGAGGAAGACCTCCCAAGCCCAAGAGAGAGTACCGCGTCAGATTCATGCATCACACAGATCCTAAAGAAGATCGTTGGTTTACCAGGGAGGAACTGATTGACACAGCCCCTCAGGTGGTGGCAGACTATGAGAAGAAACTGAAAGGGAAGGCGCCTGCGAAGTAAGMATCTCAGCRGACTTTCGAAGCTAAGGGGGATGGAATGTGAGGATTGAGCCCTCAAGTAGGGGCCTTGCCATGATGTACATGTATGGGCTAAGGCCCCAGCAAGCCTASTGCCCGCCCTAGGTGAAGGCGGGCCAGCAAATCGACAAGAGCCCTCTGTGCAACATTTCACGAAGTGGGGTCCATACAGCTGCAGCACGCCAGTTGGTTGGAGTGCACGGAGTCTTGAATTTCAGCAAATGCTGAAATCCCAGGGCCTCTGAGTTGGTTAGGCCCTGGGCATCTGAACGTGAGGCCGACAATGCATGGTGGGAAGAGAGGCCGAAAATGCCAAAGGGAAATCGGCCCACTGTCTGAATCTGGCCGCAGGCCTTGATGAAGGAGGCGCAACTGCCTTACCCCGGGGCCCAACTGTATCGAGTTGGCTTCAGCCTCTGGGCCCCGGT